TTTCTTTAAAAGTAATTTAAAAAAATTTTTTTTTTTTTTTTTTTTTTTTTTTTTTTTTTAGGTCTAAGAACCATGATAAAAAATGGTAACACTTTATTTGAAGGGGTGTGCATGACACTGTCATAAAAATGACATTACACCTGTCAAGCCTGGCAAAGTTGCTCTAAAAGTTGCATCGAAAGTGCATTAAAAGTGCCAACTTTGCATTAAATTATAATTTTCAAAATCATGCAAAGTTGGCATTTTTAATGGACTTTCAATGCAACTTTTAGAGCAACTTTGCATTAAAAGTGTCATTATTTACCAAATGACTCTTCATGACAACAGTCATAAACATTCATAAAGACTTCTTTATGTTCATGACAGGTGTTATGTCATGTTTTTGACAGTGTCATGTCCGTCTTATGCACACCCCTTCAAATAAAGTGTTTCCAAAAAAATAATAAAAATCTAATTTGGTAGAACAGGAAAGGAGCATTCAGCATCCTGAGGAAGACAGTCACATGCATTGCTCACTTGTGATTTTACCCATTCTACCACACAAACTGTCTACAAATGCTGGAGATATTGGGGGTCATTTGCATGCATTCTTATGAAGAATGTCCCAGTACTTTTCTCAGCTTTAAGCAAGCTTCAGTTTTGGAGTCTTGCACAGTCGGGACGTACAGAGCCAACTGAGGTTGAGTCTTTTATTATTATTTTTTTAATAAGTGTACCACCTATTTCCAGGTCTTCCTGAAGCTTTGTCCGAGTTTCTTCTTGGCTCTTTGACAACTCTATTAATTATTCCTTCGACTCATCTGTTAGAAATCTTACAGGAGGCACCTGGCCTAGGTTTTTGTGAAATTAACTTTTTTTACAATTTCAGGTTTTCTCCAGCTTTGCCTTTAAATTCACTAATTTGTAAACAGTGGTCATAGTAAACGTGTCGGTCCCTCTGCTCAGAATGGAGCTGGTTTGTTGAAGTGAATTTATTTATTTATACTTTAATTTACTGTAACACTGAAGGATTTATGGGTCAGTGTTGGAAGCTGTAGAGATCATCTCACTAAAGACAGTTTGCATTGAACGGCTATCATTTTGAAGCTGACAGCTGCAGGAACACTGGACCTAATGAGCCAGTTCTGGTTTGTGTCTATCCGGGTTTTGATGGTATAGAAACGCACACCCTGAGGTTTTGGTCCAGATCAATTGGGTTAAATTAAAGTCTAATGAACAGCTGTAGCATGAAATGTGTACATAATGTGATCCTAAGCTAATGGTATTAAATGCATTATTGAATTTGTTCAGTTTTTGTTCCAGATTAAGGTCTGTATGCGTGTCCATTTGACTTTCCATGGTTTGTTTCTGATATTGCAAATCCTCAAAAAAAAAGTACTCGCACCCACAAAGCTATTCCAGATTTTATTGCATTATAACCTCAAACTATGATGCAGTTTATTTATGTAGAAGACCAACACAAAGTAGACCTCAACTGCATGTTGGACAGAAAAGGACAAAAAACAAATAAAATAGCAAAATTGTAGCATACATTTGCATTTAGTTATCTTTATTGTATTTCAATTATTATTATAATTAAGAATAAGTGCAAGACTTAATAACAGACTTTATCTTCATCTAATCCGAGAGAGTTTGAGCTATTTTACAGTCCTTTTGAAGTTCAAAGCTCAGACATACCCCAAAAATATATAGAGCTGTATTTGCAGTATCCAATGGTTCTGCAATCTATGAAATCAGGGGGCTGAAAAAAATATAAAATGTAAGTTAGAGTTTTATTTGTAGAAGAAAAAAACTCAACTAAATAATTTATCTCTCACTTTGCACACATGTTTTACATTTTGTTGCCCTAAAATGACATTAATTTGTTTGAAATGTGTGGTTGTAGTGTGACAAAGATGGCAAATGGTTCACGGGACATTGAATGCCTTTGGGCATTGTACTATATAGTTATTCATAGAGAATAGCTCAAAAACTGCGCCTTCCAGATAGACACGTACAGGATTGACACAGCGCAAACCCATTTGCCCGTACTGACACATATACTACAAGTCCGTGCTTGCCAACAGCTCTGATAGGCTAAACAGGCGCTAAACACAAGGTAATCCCAGGTAGGTCCTTAATCCGCTGCAGACGGTTCGGTTCCTTGTGGACGTTGCCAAAGTAGCTCATTAAGCACATTCAACGCCCCACTTTTTTTTTTTTTTCCTTTTTTCTTTTCCTGTTAGTGTGTGCGCAAAGGAGCTGAGCTTCTGGCTGACCTGCTCCTCTTACGCCCCTGCTGGTTCTCCTCTCGGTGGGCTCCGGGATGCTTCATGGTGTTTGTGCCATCTAGGGTTTTCCGCTGTTCTATTGCAGCCTTTCCGGCACAGAGACCCTACATCTACTCCATCTACACGCTCTCCGGACGAGCAAGTCGCCTCTGAAATATTAAAGATAAACTCTCAACTTTGTTGCTTTGGATTTTTCCGTCTCCTTTTGAAAGAATCCCTGCTTTCTGTTCGGATAACTACTTTGGATATTGCAACCATTCCAAGGACGAGGATTCGATTAGCGGAGAGCAGACAGGGGGGGGAAGACCTGTTTGTGCGAATGTAGCGACTTTTCCGGCGAGGAAATGCACTGACAACTGCAGCGAGCTGGTTATTTTTACTACAAAAAGAATGCTGTGAAGCTCCATGTCGCAGCTTGGCTTCCGGCTAAAAAAGCGCAGATTTAACGCAGCATCTGCTGGTGCGGGGAGGGAAAAAAACTCGTCTAGAGCGAGAGAAGGAGCGATATGCGGTCGGCGTGCGCCTGGTTTTGCGGTTCTTCTGGAATTAGTGGAGGAATGGAAAGGGAGCGGCTGTAAGGTTCAAACCTTGAGAAGGGGGGGGGGGAAAGGAGTTTTGTGTTTGGCACGTAATGGATCATTATCCGCCGGTGCAGGTAAGAAATAACATCAAAAGCCTCCAGAGATTAGATGTGTTCTGTTTCATGTTTGTTCTTCATCTGCTGCATGCATGCACGGTTATCATGAAGAGTCAGTTTACATTTGTGCAGGCAAGGTGGGGTGTTTATTGGATGAAGGGTGATTCAGTCTTCGGACAATTACTGCTTCTCACAGAAAGTAACCTGATCAGCGAGGAGCTGCTGGACCTCTCAGTTGGACATTTAATTGAATTAACAATGTACATCTGAAGTCACATTTGTGCTTGTGTGTGTGCGCACGCAGGAGAGCAGCGTCGATTAAGTCTGTTTGTGAGATTTTTTTTTTCTCCCAAAATGTTCCCTTGTAATTCACAAAGCTTCGTATTCAACTCTCTCTAAGTTGTACGAATGGGCTGCTGTGTGTGTGTGTGTGTGTGTGTGTGTGTGTGTGTGTGTGTGTTGCGAAATTCCCTTGACATCCTAAGAAAAATATTGGCTCGTGCGTGTGCAAGCAAACGCAGCTATTTATATGCTCGTGTGTATGTTTGAGGTTAGCGGGCTCTATGGCCGCCATGAGGCACCAACTCCACCACCTTCTGTAATCACCACCCTCTTGTGGATTACATGGCAGTTGCGGAGTCGCAGTGAGAAATCGGTGTCCGGAGGTGGAGACCAGCCGGTCGGACTGTGCATGCAGTTCAGCACCGTGGACAGCGCACCCAAGTCTAACTGCCGCAGGAGGCAGCGTTTCCACTCCCACAGTGGGGGCTTTTTTTTTTTTTTTTTTTTTTTTTTTTTTTAATCGGTACTTGCTTGGCTATTTACCCCCTTTCTAAACTGCCATCATATTTTAAGCATAAGCTTTTTTTTTTTTTTTTTTTTTTTTTTTGCAAGCAAAGTCACTGTACTGAAGAAAACACTACAATGACTCAGTGGTAGGTGCGCTCTCTCTCTCTCTCACACTCTCTCTCTCTCACTCTCTCTCTCTCTCTCTCTTTGTGTGTATATATATATATATATATATATATATATATATATATATATATATATATATATATATATATATATATATATATATATATATATATATAATTTGCAGAAGCAAAAGAGAGCAAAGAGAATAGAGGAGAAACAGCTCACCGGTTGTTTTAGATCAGTGTCAGTCCAAGACATTAATCTCTTCTGGCTTGATTAATATCCACCTCTTCTCAAGCTCACTCACCCTGTCTCTGCCATTTCATATGTCACTGGAAAAATTAAACACTTTGCCACTGAATATTTGAATTCAACTTCCACTTTCTAGTTCTTTCTCAGCAACAATGTTGGACCCCTATTGAGTGTTTTGAAGCTTTCAAAAAAAAATTTTAATCAGCTTTTTTTCCTGGCTTTTTCTGGTGACAAGCAATATTTGCTATATTTCCTAAAGGTTTTCATTATTATTATTTGCTGAACATGAAAGGAATTCCCTCAGGAAACAAGTTCCTGTGAAGCTACTTTTACTTTAGTATCTTGACTTTTCTTACTAGATTACTCACGTTAGGTGACTTGACAGTTTCCCAGACAGTAAGGCTTCAGCTACCCATCATCTCCATTGAAGTTGTTTATATTCAGCATTCAGCTTGCTGATACATCAGTGGCACACAATATATGGATTTTTTAAGCTTGAAGCAACAATAAGTTGACAGCAAATTGTTAGATTAGCACAAAAACATACCACAAAGTAATTTTTGCTAAATGTAGGCCAAAGAGGCAGTTTCATTAAAATTCAGATATTTCAGTAAATTTGCCAAAATATTTGGATCTGCTCAGGTCTGTTCTGGCCTTTGAGAAACATCTAACTTTGCAGGCACTTAATGCCATGTTATCTCTTGCATGATTTACTAGCATATGATTTGCATATCCAGAAACTGTTCACACCTAGAAAGTATTTAGAGCATGTTTAAAATTTGAAAGCATCTCAGCCTTTTAGGTACCAAACAATAAGATGGCTGCTAAAAGCTACGGTGGTGTAAACATCTAAGGTCAATCATTGAAAGATTTTCTTAATTATGTGAGTTGAGGTTTTGTCTAGTCCAAGTTATGGTATATTGGGAAATATTTTGTTGGCAAATGTTATGCTAGTTGATACATATTTTGCTATATTTGCCATCCCAATATGTACAATTGCTATATATATAAATTTATGACTAAAAGTGATGTCAGGAATAGTTTAAAAGATAATTAATTATGCAATTCTATTTGTTAAATGTGTACTTAGGAGCTAAATATTTTTACTATGTACCTCAAGCTGCTAAATGCTACATAAGTCGATGTTTAGCTCAGGACCTATTTGGGAAAGAGTTGTTTTGTTGCATTATCTAAAAATTATTAGGAAAATTCAATATTCATAAAAAAAAGAGTTTTGGCTTTGCTGACCCTTGTGAATTAAAATAACTGTTTTGTTGTTTGCTTGTTTTTAGAAATTTGATCGTAATTTGAACGGTTGTTTTAAAATGTATTCTGACATCTCAAACTACTGTTGTCATATTTTATTTTCAAAAGTATTCAGAATAGATAACTTTTATATTCATTATATGAAAACATGAAGTTACTGTAGTTATTCTAAAAACCTACACAAAAACCATCCAAAATTTGGACATTAAATGCTGTCTTTAAACCTTTTACGATACGTTTCCCAACTTTCCGCTGAATGTTGGAAAGCTGTTTTGTTCATGTTTTGGATTCAGTTCTCCCATGTCCATCGCATTAAAAACAACATAGACAATCAGATTAAATAAACTCCGATTAAATGTCCCAAAATATCACGTGAACAGAACCAGGGGCCTCAGTTACATTGCATTTATATGATTCTATGTTGACATCAACACCATCAGCCAGTAAATGTAACTAAACACGTTTAAGGGAATTTAATTTGGTTTTATTACATCTTCGCAATTGGCCACAAAAACATCCAATTTGTACTAAATTCAAATGTTTCTGTTTCAGTTAACTAAATACAGCTTATTGTGCCCCTTAAAGTAGATAATCATGTTGTTTTTGCCAGGGAGCCACACGAGCGAGACATTAATTAATTCTTACTCTGCATTCATTGTTATTCACGCTGCTCGCCACAAACAGTCACAACATTAGTGTCAGCTCCGCTCATCTGATATGGCGGTATCAGTGGCGTTTGTCTCTCAACGCGAGACGCCAGGATGACGCTGGAGGGTTAATGCCTTCTGTTGAGGCCGCTCGCCGAAATTGATAGGGCCGCTTTGACAGATGAGGTAACCTGCGATTGCAGGCGAACGCAATTTACGGGTGCGGCAGATGGATACAGAGGACACCGGGAGAAGTAGGGCAGTTTTACCTCGGGGAGAAGCTTGGCATGTACAGAAGGCTCCCGATGACTGTTGGAAAGTTGTTGTTTTGCGATGGAAATTACACGGCGACGAGTAGCAGGGAGATGTAGCGGAGGCTGTTCCACTAAACTTTGAAGGAGATCATTTTGGGTTCAGTTCTTGGCCCAAAGGAGAAAAATGAAACAGAGAATAATTAGGGATTTGACGTCGAAGCGCAGAGGAATGCAAATCTCTGCTCACCTTCCTTGGCAAAACTGTTTGAAAGGGATTGAAAACACACAAATAAATCCAAACTGAAAGGTTGCGAGGCTCTAACATGCAGCCAGTCAAACACATTTGATCCAGGGAGTAATAATGGATTTACAGTAAAGCTCATCTGGGAATAGAGCGCAGCTGCAGAGCATTTTCATCACGGTCCCTCACCTCAGATTGCCATGAATTACAGGGACACATTTTCCTGTTGAATTATTGCTGCGGTTGTCACTGAGTTGGTCTTTTGTTTGTGTTTGTGCCCTGCAACTGTGGCCCTGCTGCAGCATCAGCTGCCGGGGTGGAAACCTCACATGCATTGTTCTTTTTTTTTTTTTTTTACTCCTCTTTTAAACTGATGTGATACAAATTTGATGACCATCCAAGACTTGAATACTCACAGTGCACAGTCAAATTTGTATATATTTCATTATGTTCTTTTTCTTTGTGAAAAACCAAGCCAAACTGAACATTTTTATTGGCTAAACATTTATAAAAAAAAATGTTAATTAACTTTTTGGTCTTGGTGTTCAGAATACATTCTTCAATGGCTGTTTTTCTTTTTTTTACTTTTAATAATTCAGCTTTGGTTTCTGGCTTTTTTGACTAAAATTAGAAGTTGTGGTAAAACTACAGTAGCTTTTGACATTTTTTGTTAAAGCAATCCAGGTGAGACCACATGAGCAGTTTGGCCCAACAGTTCATGCATTTCATTTCTTTAGGGAAATCCTAAGTGTTTTACTGCAATAAGAAATACTTATTCACATATTCAGAAACCCAAGAAAGACAAAGGAACGTCAAGTGTGGAGGTTTTGAAAAGCATGGCTTGAACTAGAAGTTTTCAGCATAAAAAAAAGGCTGCCTCTTTTTTCTTGTATTTATTTTTTTTGTTTCTCCAGCTGCCTCCAAAGACTCAAGAGTGGGATCTGTAGCTTCCTACTAGCTGAAATTGAAAGCAGCAACCCTGAAGTCTTTTCAGAGTCATCCATAGCTCTCCTTTCATGTGGTTCCAGTCGCATCCCACTGGTGTTAGAATGGTGAGACTGAGCGAAAAGGTGAAGCCAATGTAATTTTCACAGCAATTTCTAGCAATTATAACTCGCTATTCATTTGCTTTACATCAGTAATGTAGTTACAAGAAGTGAAATTTATACTATTAACCTGTGACTAACCAAAATCAATGAGATTTTATTTGCAAACCCCTTGATATGGTGAAAAAGTAAAAAAGAGAGAAGTGATCAAGCATTCAAACAGCATCAGTCAAACCAGAAAATGCTAAACCTCATAAACAAAAGAAGATTTTGACTACTAAAATACAATAACTAAAATAGAAATGCATAAGGTTGCATTGTGTTTATAAAATCTCACATGCTGTGATGTAATTTTATGGTTTTCTGAGACTTCTTGTAGCATCTTGCAGTCTGCTTT